TCTGGTTTCTGCTTGCAGTATTAAGAAGACTGTGACTTCCCCATTTGCTGCAAAAGAAAGTCAGTTGTTGCTAGATGGTGGCCAAATGGCAGTGAGCGAGGGCTGGAATGGAGCTGGTTATTTGGAGGCTTCTTGCTTTGTGAAGCCTCATCCACAAGCTTGTGCATGAAATGCCTTTAATTGTTGGGAGGTGAGTGGCAGACAGATTCCTCACCTTGCACTGTGCACAATCAAGTGACCTACATTTGTGCAGAGCCTGAATTCAACAGTGAAGCTTCAGTGGACAACACATGGTATCAGAAGTGGAAGGAGAAGGAAGAGGAGTCTGAAAGAAGAGCTGTATATAAGGGGATAGTGCACATTAAGAATTATTCCACCACTGCCTCTTTTCAAGGAGTGAATTGAAAACACCGAGCACTAGAGTTGGAAAATTCTACTTTTTCTTTTGATCACACCTGGTCCTCAAAATATTGTGCAAGTATGGGATGTTCAGGGTTTCTGTACTGAGTGTGGTTTGGACTATGTCAATCAGGGTACCTGCCACCCCAATTATTTCACAGGGTCAGCTGGGTAGACCTGATCTATGCCATGTAGAAGCCTTTGCAGAAGTCCTTAGTGAAGTCCATACAATCACCTACCCAGTTACCAGAACTTCATAATTCATCTGAAATAACGATTGTTCATAAAACATCAGTAATCATAAGCTAAACATTTGTATTAGAGTCAGAGTCAAGGAAAGCTTGGGTAAACATTTTAAGGTTTTAAGAGGTGATTAAAGGTAATTCATGACTATCTTCGCTTCATGAATTACCTGTAGGAGGGCATTCCTCAACACAGGATCTTCTGAATTATCATGGAACAACTAGCAGGTTATCCTCAGAATATCTTAAAGATCATTTTGGTCTTTACTTTGGGTGGCAGTCTGCTAGGTATCCTGGTCCCAAGTTGCTTAGGGCTTTAAATGTTAACAACAAAACTTTGAATTTGGCTCAGTAGCTATTAGGCAACCTATTTCCCTTTTTTGGTGCACCCTCAAGTTCCTGTTTTGTTTTAAAACAAACAAACAACTTATCAGTCATTCTATGTATGCTAACTTAAATTTCTATTACTGTCATACAATATTGGTGTAAGCCTTCATAACCTATGCCCTATGCCTTATATCTAGATTCTTAGACTATACCTATATAAACTACATCAATCATTTTATGGTTAATATCTATGTTTTTCTGTATAGACTTTATGCCCCTTCAAGCTCCTACAGTCCTCTTACCTCATGACTGCTAAGTTTACTCAGGAGCCTTTGTTGAGGAACTCTGTCAAAGGTTTTCTGAAAGTCCAAGTATACCATCTCTATCAGAGCACTATCCACATACTAAAATAGTGAGTGAAACCAGACTTAACCTTTGCAGAAGCCTTGTTAATTCTTAGTCAGCTAGACATGTTCTTTTAATATGCTTGGTGATGTTATCTTTAATAATGATTTCTACTAATATTCCCAAAACAGACATTAAGTTAATCAGTCTTTAATTTTCTGAGTCCCATCTAGTGTTCTTTTAAACAAAAATGGTGTTACATTGGCTGCCTTCCAGTCCTCTGGATTATTAACTAATGTTAATAATACTTAATGTTGAGACTATTAAAATACTAATTTATACAAGTTCTTAATGTTCTTATCTTCCTTACGTGTGGGAGCACAATAAATGATAGGTATTGATAGGATTTGTGCTTACCAAAACCATCTACCTCTGGGGATATTGTAAGTTTCAAAACTGATAACTTGGTTGGAGCTGAACTATCTTAGCACTACACCAAAGTGAAAAGATAGCAACACCCTGCAGAGAGCTGGATTATGCTTAGGGTCACCAGATTCCTAACCAGTAAAGGTCACTGTACATTTAAGCACCCAACTCTTACTCTCTATGGAAAGGTGCTTCACATTTGTTCAAAGATCCCATCACTGGGGAGGAAGATTATTTTCTAGAACATACCAAGAACCCTGCCAGACAACGAAAGTTCCATCTAGTCCAGCATCTTGCTTCCCAGAGGTGCTTCCAACCAGACGCTTCTAAAGAGGAAGGGCATGAAGGCATTAGCCCCAAAATGGCAAGGAACCATTGTCAGCCCAAGGGCTGAATTCCCTTCTGTGCCACCTTCTGTGGGCCACATGCCAGAGCTATCACAGAGGCAAAAGTAAGCAGAGCCTGAGGCAAAAGTAGACAGTGCAATGAATGTAAACAGGCTAGTTTCTACATACACTCAAACATCTCTCTCAGTTATTAATCCAGACAAGCAAGAGGCATTATCAGAGTTCAAGGACACAGTTCAGCCAAGCAAAAACCCTCAGGGTACAAAGAAGAGTCAGTGAAGAGTGTGGCTTGGGAAGAGTTCCAAGGGCCTCTAAACTACCTCTAAACACAGAAGTTGTATGTAGCCCAAATAGCAAAAAGCCATTGATTGACCAGTGCGCCATGAATTTAATCTGGTCCTATTTTAAAACCATCTATAAGTTTTACTGAGACTGACCTTTGACCCAAGCTCCTTTTAACTTGGGATGCTAGGGTTTGAATCTGGGGTCTTGTGCACACAACGGATCTGTTCTACTGCTGAGCTATGGTACCTCATATGTAAAGAAGCTATGTGGCTAGGATGTCTCAAATCAACAGCACTATGTACACCATGCTCTGACCAGCTGAGCTAGTCAAACAACCAAGGAGACACCAAAGTGCAGTTCTTTCCATCAGAACCCATTGCCTGTCCAGCAAGATTCAATAGACCATGCAGTGTATGAGGTTTATGGTTGTGCAGGCCATTGGCTACCTCTGCACGGGTGCAGCATTCACCTGGAAGGAACTGGGATCAGCTGTCTCTTTTATCATCTCTCTTCCTCTGCAATAGCGATGGGGAGAAGATGAGGTGGTGGGCCATTTTTAATGGTCTAAGATCTTCAGTAGGTCACAGCCTGGCAGCCCTAAATCATGCTCCCTGCAGTTTCTTGTGACCTGGATACATATCCCTTTTGCCCAAAAGCTGAGCTATGTCTGCCTAGCTAAGCACAAGGCAGCTGTACAGTTATCCACCTCAAGCTCCTTTGGGAAGAAGGATGTGATATAAATGTAATACTGTAAGAAATAAAACAAATAAGCTGCCTTCCACCCAAATCATTTTGTTGTAACCAATTTGCTGATGGAACTGCAAGTCTGGTGACTCTTTGCAATACATCACCTCAAGGGAAAACATCTCCACAGTGAGTCAGTATATGGCTGCTGTATAGCTCACCCCGTGCTCTGGAAAAATAAATTTGCTTTGCAAAAAGCCTGAAAATGTGGACTCTAAGATTAAGGCAAAGGGTGAGACTCAACTCAGTCATACAAAGGACAGGCTTGCTGCATTCCACAGAAGCTTTGCTCACCTCACAGCAAAGGTTTCCCTGTCTAGATCACTCTCAGCTCACCTCTATTACCATTCATTTTCCAGGCAGGTATGTTTAAAAACTGGGGCTTATTTTAATAGTGAGGAAATGCTAAACTATTTTCCTCTTAGTTTAGGGGTGAAATACAGTGATGGAGGAGAGAGGTATGACCAAAGTTTATTTATTTATTTATTTATTTATGCATGGTGTGGAGAAGGTGGACGGAAAGGGCAAGGATTAAAGTATTAGCCACTCTCCTTTAGCAGGCATGGCTACAGAATGTGTTCCCCTACTTCTATCCCACCTTACAGCAGTCTATGCAGATCCAAAAGTTTCTTTTGCAGGCCCTCCATATGTCCTTTTTATTGTTCAACATGATTATTTTAGGATTGCCATACATTCTGAATTTCCCAGACATACAGAGTTATTCGAAATGCCCAGACAGAAATCGGTGAAATGTCCAGGAAAATCTAGACATATGTCAGCAGTGTAGTTTTTGCTGATTTTCCTCAGAAATAGCTCAAAAACGTCCAATTTCTTTGCAATTAAAAAGCTCAACAACTTTGCTGATAAAAGCTCAACAAATTTTCTATCCAGATTTTCACTTTTTGAACTTTTTTTTCACTTTATGGCAATCCTCGTTTATTTGTGCTCATGATGGTACTGGAATGGTTATAAGCAATCCTGCTTTCAGTACTGTGCCTGCAAAAGGTTTGGGGTGGACGGGCATACTGTTCTGCTTCAAATTGGTGCATGTCATGTAACTTCTTGCTGAAGTCCTGTAACTTTTTAGACCACAAATGTTTCGGGGTTATGTTGTTTAGTCCCACTTTTATTGCCCCATAGCAAAAGAGTGCCCCTCCATACAGCAATAATTAGGTAATAATTGGGAAAGCACCAAAGAACTAATAAAGCAGAATGATGTGTGAATTGTCCAGTATAAATCCACCATCAAGCACTATTATTGCATCAATTACATGTTGCAGAATATACATAACCCCACACAAAAACACCAGTCTGGAGGGGCCCTGGACTCTCCTGGACTCACTGTCTGCTTCAAGAAAAAAAGTGTGTGTGTATGGCAAGGGGCAGGGGGAATACAGATGGTGAATCAGATAAGGCACATTCCTTAGAGTGCATTATAGAGATTGACACTTATAACTGTTGCAGCTTCTGTTTGACCAGCATGGTACAAATCCACTTGATCTGCAGATATGGAATTTATCGCATGGCCAGGCTGATAACGCTCTTTACTTAAATGCAGTTTACCAGTGACAATCCATCTACCTCCCTTAGCCAGGGTGTGGCACAAGGAAGCTGGGAAACACAGAGATGCAGATAAGAAACATTCCTTGCTAGCTGCACAAGTACTTGAAGCCTTCAAGCTATGCTTGCCTGCCGGATGGGAGTTGGTACTTAAGCAACCATGAACAAGGTGGATTTGTTACCTGAAAACTAGGCAAAAAAATGGGGGGCAGGCAATGTGGGTGGGAAGCAGAACTAGGGGAGGCTGAATTAAAATCCCAGTTCAGTTGTTACTCCCATGCTCTTGCAACCAATCTGTACGTGTATATACATCATGCATACACACTACATAGCTCAGTGGTAGAGCATCTGCTTTGCATGCAGAAGATACTAGATTCAATCCCTCCACATAAAAAAGACACAAGAAGGGTACAAAGAAGGGCTGATGAGTGGTGTCACCAGAGGAAAGAACAGAGAGGTACAAGGAGCAATGAGAAATCTTTTTAGCCCAAGGGCCACATTCCCTTAAGGACAACTTTCCAGGGACCACATGCCACTGTTGAGTGGGGCCTGAGACAAAAGTGGGTGCAGCAACAAATGTAAATGTTGCCTTTGTAGGCTAGGTTTTTCACTCTCTCAGACATCCCTGTCTATCCTCTGATCCAGACAAACAAGCAGCATGATCAGAGTTCAAGGACACACTCCAGCCAAGTAGAAACACTCAGGTAGGGTGCAAAGAAGGGTTGGTGAGGAGTGCAGCCTAGAGAGAGTTCCTGAGGGCCAGATGGAGAAGCTTGGAGAGCCACATCAAGGCTTGGGGTGCCCGCACATGGACTACCTTATCAGGCCATTCTGACTGGAACAGTTGGGAGAACAGTTGGAAGTCCAACAACAACTGGAGAGCCACACGTGCCCTATCCCTGAATGAGTGGCATGAGAGGCAGTGGGGACAGGAAATATTATCTCCAAGATTGGACTTTCCTTAATAAATAGGGAACATTAGAATGTCAGCCAGTATCTTTTATAGATCCTGGGAAGCAGCTTAGGTGGTTTCTTGCCTGCCAGTGATAGGGCCAGATGCTACAAGGCTGGTGAGGTGAGAACAAGGTCTGATGACTGTCAAGTATAATTTCTGCCTTGTTTCATGCAGACAGCAAGTAATCTTTTTAAAAGCATGCCCTTGTCTACCTCCCAGCTCGCTGCTTAATTTAGGCATGTTCTTCTCTGAATCATGACTCCAGATATTCTAAAAGTGGTCAGACCTGAGGAATATTTACTAGTGCCAAGAATTTTGCCAAGTCAGTAACTGAAAACTTCCTGAACACAAGACAATAGAATTCTAACACCGCCTTGGGCAACTGGAGAGAGGAGTCCTGGGTTTCTTTTGCTCTGCACCCCACCCCAAAATGTATGATGCCCCAGGCAGCATTTGGGCTTATGTGGCATGGAACAGTCGTTCTTCCAAGACTGCAAGATGAAAATCCCTTAACGCTCCCACATTCTACATGAGACATGCAAAACATTAGTGTTCTGATCTCAGATTTTTTGCTGCAGCAAGATCAAGTTTGCTTTCCTGCTCCCTTATCTTTTGTACTTCCAAATCAGCTTTTGTGCCTTAACCACTTAGAGCAGAGCTTTCCAAACTTTTCATGTTGGTGGCACCCTTTTTAGACATGTATCATTTTGCAACACAGTACTTCAGTTTTACTAGCAAATGGGAGGTTAAACGAACCCCTTTCCAGTCCCGGGAGGGACATGAAAGGCATTCACGCAAGCGGCAACACACCTACACACTGCAGCCAACACACCAACGTGTCGCGACACACAGTTTGGAAAGCTCTGACTTAGAGCCAAACTAGATTTGACCACAGGTATGTGTGTGCATGCACCTTTGTCTCTTTAAATGTTTTATCTAAAACAAGTGTGCAGAACCTCTGGCCCAAGAGTTCCAGCTTCTGTACCTGGCCCGTGGGACTTTCCTCATGCCATGCCCCTACACAGCCATGTTCCACAATATCTTTCAGTATTTTTGTCTAGCTGCAATATGTCATTGAACTGAGACAATGCTTCACACTTTTCTGAATGGAGAGATGTGGGGAGGGTTGTAGAAAACTGCTACTTGCATGACTGAAATGTAGCCTGCTGTACAAACGTAAGGTGCTCCACCCACTTTGCTTCTGGCCTTGCCCAACACTGCCATACAGTGTTTTGAAGGCTGTCCACGAGGGTACACAGCCCTCAAGCTGAAAATGGCTCCCCATGCCTGATCTAAATTACTGGTATAAATACAACTCTATATACAGTACCACAAATGTATATGTTACTTATTGACTAGCATGAGAAAAGAAAGAGGAGCCTGTCCCAAAGAATATGAAATATAGCAGTATTGGATGTTGCCTTATATTGAGTCAGAACCATTGGCCCATATAGTCCAGTACTGTCTACACTGACTGAAAGCAGCTCCTGCAGTTTCAGACTGGAATCACTCCCAGTCTTAGCTAGAGCTGCTGAGGATTGAACCTGGGATTATCTGCAGGCAAAGCAGGTACTATACAACTGAGCAGGTACTGTACAACTGTACAACTGGGACACGGGTGGCTCTGTGGATTAAACCACAGAGCCTAGGACTTGCCAGTCAGAAGGTTGGCGGTTGGAATCCCTTTGACGGGGTGAGCTCCCGTTGCTCGGTCCCTGCTCCTGCCAACCTAGCAGTTCGAAAGCACATCAAAGTGCAAGTAGATAAATAGGTACCGCTCTGATGGGAAGGTAAACGGCGTTTCCGTGCGCTGCTCTGGTTCGCCAGAAGCGACTTAGTCATGCTGGCCACATGACCCGGCAGCTGTATGCCAGCTCCCTCGGCCAATATAGCGAGATGAGCGCCGCAACCCCAGAGTCGACCACGACTGGACCTAATGGTCAGGGGTCCCTTTACCTTTACAACTGAACTATGACACTTCTCAATGTTCCTATGAGTTTGCAATGCAAATTTTGACAATGGGGGAGAGAACAAAGAAAGGAGAGGGGGGTTGGGGAACATATGAATACAGTATACACAAATATCAATTGATAAATCTTAAATTTCACAGCAGTTGAGCATGAAACAAGAGCTAAAGGAAACAGAAGAAGAGAGATAGGTGAGTGCATTTATGGAGGATAAGGTTATCAATGGCTACTAGCCACCATGGCCATGTTCTCTCACCACTGTTTGAGGCAATCTGCCAATCACTGGGAATTGCAGGTGGGGAGGGTGCCATTGAACCCATGTCCTATTTGCGGGCTTCCCATGAAAATCTGGTCTGACCCTGTGAAAACAGAAAGCTGGAGTAGATGATCCAGCAGTCTCTTATTATATTTGAAAGTGTGGGGCCACTACTGAGAAGGCCATATCACAGGTTAGTACCAGGACATTTTCACTGGCATCTCCTTGCAAGTGGAACTCCTTCCCTACTGAGGTGCATTTGGCCTCATCTCTTTAGGTGCCTTGCTAAGATGCACCATTTTTGGCAGGCTTTTGGAGGGTGAGAATGCTGACCATACAAATGGATTTGTGGTTGCTGCTGATATTGATAAATTGATAGTTATTTGTTATGAGTTGCTGTGCTGTTGCTTTTAAAAGTTATGTTTTTTATGGATTTTTGTTTATTCTTTTTCTTTTGTCGAATTTAGTTGCAAACTGCCCTGTGGCTTGTGCAAAGGGTGGTCTATAAATCATCTAAATAAATAAATAAGCAAACTTTTGGCCTTCAGATAGAATGTGCAACTGGATGCTCAGCCCTCGATTGAGGCCTGCAGCAATATGAAGCAGAGGCTGCAAAAATAACATCATTCTAAACAAAAGTGATAGGGAAATGGTTAATCTTGAACGTTTTGAAAATAGGTGCTAAATTCAATCTACATGTAAAAGAGCATCACACATCTTCTTCCTGCCTGCAGTTGAGTAGATAATATGGAAAATACAGAATCACTGCAGGGGGTCGGAGTCCTATTCGCTCTGCTGCACTGTAAATATAGCAGCGAGGGGGCGGGGGTGTCCCTCAACTCTACATTCACTGCATAGTGCAATAAAATATTTTCTTGTAGTACATGACACAAACAATCTCATGCTGTTGCATGACTATTGATATTTGCATAAATCGAGATAAAACTCCTGAAGGAGAAAATGTATAAAAGATATTGCCTGAAGCCCAAATAATTTCCCAGAACTTTCTCAAGCAAACTTTCTCAAGCACCATTTATCTTGAATGCATCATCATTTCAATGCCAATTGCATGAAGAAGCTCAGTATACATTTTGCCCAGCATGGAACAATGCCCTCAGCAAATTGTTCTTCTTTTGGAGATTTATGGCAACTCAAACTTAATAGTCCAAGATCCCATGCAAAGATAATGACCTCATAAGAAGCAGAAGGTTTGGCTAGCTAAACACCTTACAAAGTTGTGGCATCTCCAAAGCTGTCAGCCTTAGCAGCAAAGGTTGGGCTGTTAAGGGGTGGCAGCCCCTATTCAAATGGGGCCAGGGACACAGAATTAAAAATCAGAATAAACATTGATGCAGCTGGTACCAGTTTGTAAAGACTATCTTCTTGCCTGTGTTTAGCAGCCTTTATTTATTAATTAAAATATTTCCACCTTCCTTCCTCTTCACTAAAGGAACCCCAAGGTCACACCCAGCAGTTATAAAACAACCAACAATATGTAAAATCAATACTACCCTTTTAGTTTTAATGGGATTTTCAAGGGTGGGTGCTTAGGATTGTGGCATACAATGTTTTCTAACTGAAGCCTGATCCTTGCTTCAACACTGTGCAATAGAATAAATAAAACCATTGCCACAACAACCACTCCATTCATGTGTTTGTTAACATTTGCTAATACCATTTCTAAGAGTTTAACAAAAACACTAACTTGTTAAAAAATGAATATTGCTTGTTGATATTGCAGTCCTCTTTAGGAGAATGAATTTACAACAGAGAAGCATCAGGAGTTAAAATTTACTGCAGAGAAGCATCAGGATAGATCAGCACTACAAACTTAAAACAGGTTGCTATGACTTTATGAATGAACTGAAAACCTGTTCCTAGAGATTCCCAGCCCAGTTGTACAAGTCCAGAGAACTGCAGTTCCAAGGGTCCAGTTTCCCAGGACAGAAAGATGAGGGCTGTTGCTTCAGCACTGGCAATGGCTGAGGGCCAATCTGGACTGGTGTTTTTTTTGCAGGTGGATTATGCACCATGTCATTGATTAAGGGATAATCCAGACTAATGAATGCAATATTATAATTATTATTATATTATAAAGAATGTACAATTTCACAGTCACAGATATTCTCAGGGCCTTCAAGACTGGTGGGGTGAGGGTGTTGCAAGTGTATTCTGCAATGTGTCACTGGGCTTGTCCACACTGAAATTTACTGTTTCTTTGTAGCTGTTTGCATTTCCATTTAATCTGTGTAGTCCACAAGGCGCTACCCTCAAACAACAGCAGACTCAATCCCCGCCCCTGCCCCCAGTAAATCTGGGTTTACCAAATAGGGGGATACTCCAACAAATATGGGGAAGTCAAGCTTCACTTGGAGTGGCAGATAATTTGTTTCAGTACTTTCAGTAAGGTGGATCAGTTATCACTTTCTGCTACTGCCCTTTCCATGCCAACTACTTCTTCAAAGTTTTCATTTCTTTTCTTGCCATGCTCACAACTATTTCCAGCATGCTCCTGAACAGAGGGGCACAGCCTGGGCATAGCCAGGATTTATTTGGGGAGGCAGGCTTTATGTTACCGGGGTGGGGGGCAGAACCAAGATATCTGTGAGGTAATTGGTCAGATAGTTAAATATTTCTATTTATTTACTTGACTGGGGCAGCAGCTGCACCCCCTGCAACCCCCCCCCCCCATGGCTACGCCCATGGGGCTACGCTTTAAATGTTTTTTCTTTTGAGCCCACGTATTTGCACAAAACCAGAAAACTGCAAAAGTTGCCTGTGTCCTTTTGCACACTTCCTAGTTGGGGAATTAAACAACAACAAGGTGCAGGCTCAGCTATCTGCATGCTTGTCTTTGGTGTTAATAAAATCAACAAATTACGGTAGAAAGAAAGGACAAACATAAAATGGAATGCCAACTGGTATAAACATGAATCACTGAGGTTGTTCCCTATATACAAATTCAAATGCCTGTAGGCGTGAACTACTCTGGTCTAATATGAAGGGGGAATAGTGGATAAAGGTGTATTTGGCAATCATAGTACATTAGTGGTGGATTTAAATTGGATCATCCCATGTTAATTAGCTTTTCTGTGATGTTTCCCCAATGTTATTGCATTATTGCCATCAAGAGGGCTACTCCTGCGCTATAGCACAACCAAAGCAGAATAAAATAAAACAAACAACTCCTGGAACATTTGTGGTATGACAAGTTAACGGGATTCCAGCAGACACCTGTGGATATGCACCAATCTGAAGTTTCTGCCTGGCTCGCCATCTCCTCTACTCCTGTTGTCCTGTGAGAGATTGGGACAGCAGGGTGTGTTCTGAGAGCCAGCTAGGAACCCAGGAAGCTGGTATGTGAACCTCCAGTTTTGGGACAGCCAAGTCCAGATCCAATGGGTCTTCAGGGTCACTGGCAAGTGTGGAGATCTGCTGGAGGGTCCTGCTTCTATTCCTTGCTCCTCATTTGAGGAGACCTCAGGGCTGAGGTCCATCCGGGCAGGGCTGATCCCTAACACCAAGTTAAGAATTGTGCAAATTATACAGGTTTGAAGCTGGTTTAAATGTGCAATGTGTAACCATACCATTGGCATCTCCTGATGCAGAATGAATCATCAATCATCATCCACTGGCTATTGCCAAACCTTTGATAAAGCTCCGTAGCTTGGTAGTAAGAGCACATGCTTTGCATGTGGAATGTCACAGGTTCAACCCCTGGCATTTGTGGCTTAAAGGGGCTCCAGGGGTAGAGATAGGCGAGACCCCCTGCCTGAGATCCTGGAAAGCCACTGCCAGGAAAAGAAAGAGCTGGGCCAGACATACCAGTAGCCAGATAAAGCAGCTTCATGTATGTATTGGTCTTCATCATCATTTGTGTGTTTAATCCTCAGCCTTTGACCTTTGGTCAGAGCCCTATTGTGCAGAGAGGCAGAAATTCACATGTCAAGGCAAAAAGGAAATGACCTGGATCTTGAACTTTCCTGATCCTTGTGATTCATTTTATTCCCCGTCACCATCAAGCAATAGCCATTGCATCTCCAAAGGCTGGGCCTGAATCAATTGAAGGGGAAGGGAGGGGGAATCACCACCCCTTGGGCTAGTCAACATCCGAGAGCAAGAGAAACTCTTTGAGCAGAGGTTAATCCTACTGCCTCATCCAACATCACTGTCGTTATTAAGGCTGAGGAATCTATTACTAGCCCTGAGAAACAAAAAAGGAGGAAACTGCCTACTTAACATGGGATGCAGAGAATGACAAAGCACCAATAGTAGCACCATGTCAATGGTGATGGAGAAACAGAAATTATGAACACAACTTATTCTGAGTTGACCCATCTAGCTCAGTATTGTTAACAATGACTGGCAGTGGCTCTTTAAGGTTTCAAACAGCCCTACCGAAAGATGTCAGGGATTGGACCAGCAACCTTCTGCATGCAAAACAGATGTTCTACCACGGAGCTGTTGTCCTTCCGGGCTCAAATTAGCCCCTAGGCCTGCACCCTTGGTGGGGGCCAAGCTATCCAGCCCCTAGCTATGCACCTGTACATGTGCACCAAGCATACACCCGACATGCTCCTTTGAAGAGCAGGACAGTGATGTTTTTAGAGTTGAGGTCAGCTTTCTGTGGAGCATTTATAGGAGGTGAATTTTCCAGCTCTTGGGTTGCTGCCATAGCATGAGGGGGAGCGCCAAGAAAGCAATATATGAACATTTAATTGGGGAAGGATGTAGTTCAGTGGTGGAACATCTGCCTTGGATGTAGAGCCTAGGTTCAATCCCCAATGTCTCCAGCTAGGGCTGGTGAAACTTCTGCCTAAAACCCTGGAGAGTCACTATCAGTAAGTGACAAGACTGAGTTAGCTGGATTAACAGTCTGACTCAGTATAAGGCAGCTTCCTATGTTCCAATCACATGGTAGGACATCCAACGGCAGTGAAACCAGGAAGTGAGGGCAAGCAATCCAGAAAGGACACCAGGTAACAGTAAGCACATCACCAACTACTTCATGGGCCACTTATCCTACCAGGTACATCAATAGTGCTTTGCAAGTCCAGCATTCCATTCAGAATTCTGCAGACACACAGTGAACAGGTCAGAAAAATCATCACAAATCAGGCATTGAGGGAAATGGCAGGATGGCACAGGAAACACTGGACTGTAATACATTGGAAACGATGTTTTCCATATTCTCTGAGTGGGCAAATGGTGGGGAAGGACCAGAGCTCAGGGGTAGAGCAGCTAGGTCCTGGATTCATCCCCAGCAACTCCAGGGAAACAGCTAGTGTGGCAGCAGCCTCTAAAGTTTACAGATACAGTATATCGTTAGAATATAGATTTGTAAGTGCACTTTGCTAGAAAAATGGAATTGAGGGTGCTGGGATTTTACATTTCTGGTGGTCTTGTGCAATGGTTCAGATTTATTGGACTCCAGTTACTGAGATGAGTAAAACTATGCATTTTTACTTTATTTGCTTTTATATGTTTTTACATGTTTTATACTGCTGTTTTCTTGGTTTTAGACTGTATTTTTGTTTTAATTAAAATGTTTGTTTTTATATTACCTATTTACATTTAAAAAACTATTAAGTGGTTTAGAAATACTTTTAAACGAATGAATGAATGAATGCAACAGAGATAACAATACCACTAGTCCTGTGGTGATATTACTAGGATGTCTTGAAAGCTGGGATCATAGGACACCAAACAGAGTGGACTTTTAATTTTACTATATATTTTTTATTTGTGTTTACTGTTATTGATCTGAAAGGGCTGAGTTCCTTCTAGCAGAAAAAACCCCCCGATTTTCATTTAAATCTAAAATACATAAAGAAACAGACAGGGCAACCAAAGTCCAGGAGAAACAGGAAGATATACTTGGCAACTAGGAAGTGTCTCATTGTCTAATTGTCTAATTGTCTGACTATAAGGGAGGTTCCTAAGTTCCTCTGAGAGCTTTTTTCTTCACTGTCATTCTCTGGCCCACTGACCAGCGCTCAACAAAGTATATTGCTCAATACCTACTAGGAAGGCAAAATCTCGTATCCCCTCTCCATCAAGATTAGCGGTAGAACAACCGCCTTGCATGCAGAAAGTCCCAGATTCAATTCTTGGCATCTTCAGGTAGAGCAAGGAATGTCCTAAAATCCTGGAAAGCCACTACCAGTCAGTTTGGACAACACTGAGCTTAGTGTGCCAATGGTCCGACTAAGTAGGCAGCTTCCTATGTTCCTGCTGTGGCTCTGCTTATCATACTGGGTCAAAGGACATATGTGAATATATTACGTAAGTTTTGCCTTTGTCTACATATTACATCTATGTAAGCAGGAGACATTCTAGTTCTAGTGTTCCTCCCCCCTCCCCCCCCTTCTGGAAACAGAAAAGGTGTTCATCATGTAGGGAAAGTATTCCCATTTTCTCTTCTTTAAGCCTGCTGCTCCATCTAGTGTTGGAAACACTCCACAAGCCCCTTCGCCAGCCTTAATTTTCATGAGTTGAAGCCAGGGAAGAGAACAAATAAAAATGTAAAAATAAAATAAAAACAAGGTCAAGCTACTAGAGTAGGGTGACAGTGACAGTAGTACACAAGTGACTCAGAAATCTCTAGCTCTCGGGACACATTGACAGGTCCTGGAAAAAAATACAGAAGCTGGGGAGGAATTGAGCAGCATTTTCAGAAATTTGAGGGCAACACTTCAGTGCTCTGAACACTTCCTTGCCCAATTAAGTAAGCTAGGGAATACAGGCACGTATATCTAAATATGCTTCAAATCCACATTCCTTTCCCAGGAAAAGCCCACTCTTTAGCAATAGATCAGAACAAATGGCGGGGGGGGGGCAAATTGCCATTTGCTCCGACTGAGTGCTAAAGAGCTGTCTCACCCCCACCCCCACCGCGAAAGTAGTTGGGCATGAGGAAGTATGGATAAGCTCTCTTAGATGGCATCAAGGATAAGACTACCATTGGCTACCAGCCAGGATGGCTATGTTATATCTCCACTCCTGGAGGCACTAAGTCTCTAAATGCAAGTTTCTGAGAATCACAATTTAGAAGTGCTCTTGTGCTTGGCTCCTGTTTATGGGTTTCCTACAGGCATCTGGTTGACCACTGTGATAACAGGATGCTGGACTTCATGACCCAATGGCCTGACCCTGGTTGCAAAGCAAGGTGTAAATACAGTGAATGACTAGATAATGCAGAAGATTTACTATTCATTATTATGTACATATGTACCGTATTTTTCTCCCTATAGGACGCACTTTTTCCACTCCAAAAATGAAGGGGAAATGTGTGTGCGTCCTATGGGGCGAATGCAGGCTTTCGCTGAAGCCTGGAGAGCGAGAGGGGTCGGCCTAGAGGGAGTTGCCGCCGGGCTCGCAAGGCTTGTGGATAGCAGCCTGTTCTGGGGGCTGGGGTCGGGGGAAGCTCGGGCTTCCCCTGCCCCAGCCCCGTGGCTGGGGGGGGGAATAATTTTTTTTTATTCATTTCCCCCCCCCAAAAAAAAGGAGGTGCGTCCTATGGGCCAGTGCACCCTATAGGGCGAAAAATACGGTATATCCCATATATAACTTAAGGTACTTGACAACGTCACATTAAAAAATTAACACAACTCAATCAAAAGTCTTTAGGGAGGGGGAGAGAATCTAGCACAACACAAATGACAGAAATGAAAACTGGCAGGAATTGCCAGCAATCAGTATAAGTCTGGGAGACCAAACCAGAAGTGAAAAATAAATCCCAATTTCAGTTTACCCAACATTGAGCTAGAAAAGTCGGGATTTCATGTGGTGTCTGAATTCTGCTCGTAGTCAGCCTTGCACCTGGTAGATGCTGGTCCTATCTCATCTGGCAGAGTCACCCAGAACAAAGCATGAGGGAAGACATACAGAAGATAGTTCCTTAGGTATTCAGGTACCAAGTCATGGCACTCCTAAAACTCCTAAAACAGAGGCAACATTCTGAAAGCCAAGTTTAAATGAAGGTATCAGGCATCACCAGGCTTTGATGATAAGCCTTGTGGGTCAGACACCAACTCCATGCTTCAAACTGCAATGCAAGGAATAGGAAGCAGCAGGCAGTTTGAGCCATGACACTAAAACCATAGACCACAAACCTCTCAGTCTAAGAATCATGTTAATCCAGAAGGCCAGTAATGTGCCACTGCCTTCTATATAGCTCCAAGACCTGGCTCCAGTTTTTGGAGAGCCCTGGGTAGGCTGTCTTCAGTGGGCCCCCTGTACCAACCAGCCTCCTAATCAGAGCCTGGGCCACGGGTCCTCCTCAACCATGCAAGGGGGCTTACCTGATTGCAGCAGCCCATTATAATGCTGTTGGCAGGAAATTCTGCTTGCAAACAAGAGTGAGGGATCCTTCTCCATCCCCCATAACTCATTTGTGAGTGGCTTCACTTGGTGGTGGTGCTGTCATGGCAGGCCACAGGGCAATGAATAAATGATGTAGTGATTTGGGGGTGGGGTGGGGATGTCAGACTTGGTAGCAAGCCCTTCTGAAGCCCCTCAGAAAATGTCCCTGGGTGCCCTACCTTTAATGTTTTGCATGTTCCAAGGTCTACTGTGTTCCTTTCTCTTAGGACTGTTGTGGAGGAAACCCACTAGGTTGGCAAACTGTCTCCAGACAAGTGTCCATTTCCTCTCTCTCTTAATGTGGAAGCTTTCAAGCCAAGGGACTTAACATAAAGCCACATAATATAATATATATAAGAAGAGTCCTGCAGCTAGATTGTCCAGCATCTTGTTCTCACAGTAGCCAACTACATGCCTATGAGAAGCCCAGCACTCTTCTCTCTCTCTCTCTCTCTCTCTCTCTCTCTCTCTCACACACACACACACACAGTACCCAGACCCAAGTGTCAAGCTAAACAGACTGCTCTGTTCATGTGGTTAAAGCAGCTGAGATGTGTTTGTGTAGGTCTATCAAGCTGATGTTCAACTCCTACGTCCCCAAAGATGCAAGCTGAAAAGAAAGGAGGATGAGGACCTAAACCACCACATTGAGAGTGGGACTGCAAAAGTAGGTATTGATTTAAAATGCTAACATTCTAGTGGCTGCCAAGTTAGGTTGGTGAGTGGGGCAGCCCAATGAGACCATATTACTGATCTTGAAAGTGCTACACTAGTGCTACACCAGTTGAGCTACCAGGCCTAATTCAAGGTGTTAGTACTAGCATAAAGGTAAAGGTAAAGGTACCCCTGCCCGTACGGGCCAGTCGTGTCCGACTCTAGGGTTGTGCACCCATCTCACTTAAGAGGCCGGGGGCCAGCGCTGTCCGGAGACACTTCCGGGTCACGCGTGACGAAGCTGCGAGCCAGCACCAGCGCAGCACACGGAAATGCCGTTTACCTTCCCGCTATAAAGCGGTACCTATTTATCTACTTGCACTTAAGGGTGCTTTCAAACTGCTAGGTGGGCAGGAGCTGGGACCGAAAGACGAGAGCTCACCCCGCCGCGGGGATTCGAACCGCTGACCATGTGATCGGCAAGCCCTAGGCACTGAGGTTTTACCCACAGCGCCACCCGCGTCCCTGTAGTACTAGCATACAAGTACTAGCAATCAAGGCCCTAAACAAATCGAGACCCAAGTACCTAAAAGAGTACCTCTTCCATTATTCACCATCTCAGATCCTACAATTGGCATAGGGATCTTGTTGTTGGTGCTGCCTCCACTGGGGGCTGCCCCATGACACAGCCTTCTCTGTGATGGCTTCCCATTCATGGAATGTCCACCCTGATGAGATATGTCTGATACCCTCAATATTAACAATCGGGGGGAATATTAAAAAGATTCCCGTTCACCCAGACATTTCATGGTTGAAAGATACTGTTCCCAGCTAACCTTGAAATTATTAGCTGCAAGTGTAAGTGGTTGTTTTAAAATGTTATTAGATGTTATTAATTTTTCTTAATGTTTTATTTTATTTTTAATTGTATTGCTTTACTACTTATCTGTTTACTGCACTTGGCTCCTTTCCATGAATGGAGAGAGGGATAGAAATTTAATAAATACATAAAGATAAATATTCTGTTTTATAGCCTCAGGGGTCTCTCAAAGCAGCTTGCAAAGGATTATCTGAACAAAACCATCCTCAAATCTAGTACAGGAACAGCAAAAGCAATTACATGGTGTCCAAATGGAACCAGGATTGTTCAAGCAGAGATTTTCCTCCCCTCGTACTTGTTCTTCCCCAGGGTCATACCAGGTGTCACTTTCTTGGAAGTCCTTTGCGGCTGAACGAGTGGATCTCATTCAGGCCACAATGTAAGGTAAGTAATCATCCCATGCTGGTCTGGCTAACACTGGGGAGGCAATTTGATTTTGTTTGCATTTTAATGTGAAACTACCTAAGTTGCACTCATCAAACCAAAATACAGCTATCCTTTGAAATTCTGATTCCTCCAAACATTGTGATGCAGTTCTCCAACAAATGTGTAAAAGCATACATATTTTAGGAGGAAATGCATCAAAACTGATATATTAGGGGAAAGCACATTTTAAAACATCATATGTTAAGAGAAATTGCTTACTAAAATGTGTATATTAGTTAAAACTGCAAGAAAAAATGTGTTTACTAAGAGAAATTCACACTAATCTGTTGACTAATTTTCATGAGGATTCCACCCCACCCCCACCCCCAAAGAAACCACAAATTACTGTGGGAATGTGAAAAACTGAATTTAAGATTAGAAAAATGAGAAACTGAGAGAAACTGAAGTTGATTTGGCCATCGCTGCTGAAGACTCTGAATTGCATACTCGCCAACATTTTACTGTTGAAAATATGCACTTTTCTTGTCCAAAAACCTCCTATGATACAGAGCTGCATGTGGAGGCAAAAATGCTTTTCCAGAAGCCTTTTCCAAACCTAGTCAGGCAAAAACCGCAGTGTTTCCCCGCAGGGGTGAACTACAGGGTGGCTGGGGAGGTGAGCTGAGTTCTGTGTGGTCCCTGCCTAGCTCCACTTTCCATGAATCCGCCATGGATTATTACTTTCAAACAGGAGCTGCTTCAGAGAGGGATGGAAAGGTAGGACTGTCCCAAGACATTTTGGTGCCAGAGATACAAATCCATACAGTATCACCTGCCTTGCCTACATACACACATGCACACACAAGCTAGTGAACATGAATCATGCTTTGCTGAGATTGCTGCCTACAGAAGCCATGCTAAAATGAATGGGGAACATTAATGGAGCTCGTTAATATGAGTCATATACACAATCCCCAATGTTTTCTGCCCCATAGCTCAGATCAGTATGTCTGACTTAAAGGAACCTACTTGCTTTAAAAAAAAATCATTTATAGGCATTTCTATATTCTCTTCCAAATTCCTCAGACAGTTTTTACAATCAAACAACTATAAACCCCAAACTCCTCCCATCCTAAACTTGACCCTTTGCCTGCCTAGACATTGCAGCATACATTTGGCCTCATATTTATTTCCTTGTTTATTTGTTGATTATTACATTTAAATCCAATTTTCCCTCCAAGGAGTTCACGGTGTCATATACAGTTATCCTCTCCGGTTTTGCTCTCACAGCAATCCTGTGAGGTAGACTGAGAGACCTTGACTGACTCAGTTTAGGGAAGTTTTTAATGTTTGATGTTTTATCGTGTTTTCAATATTTTGTTGGGAGCTGCCCAGAGTAGCTGCGGAAACCCAGCCAAATGGGTGGGGTATAAATAAATTATTATTATTATCATTATCATCATTATCATCATCATTATCATTATCCAGTGAGCCTTATGGCTGAGTTGGGATCCGAACCATGGTCATAGCCCAGCACTTTAACCACTACACTGCATTATTGGCCTACTACCTGCCATTTCCCCTATCTTGGACTGTACCACTTGCCTCTGGTTCACAGCTGGCTGATGACTTGCTTCCTTCTGACCTTTGGTGCCCCCGATTCTGTGATCATGGCTGTGCTGGCTCCCTTATACTTCAAAACATCTTGAGGGTGCCAGGTTGGCAAGACTGGACTGCATGCATGTGGACTGGTGAGATCCAGTTTCAAACCTCTGCTCAGCAGTGAAGGGAGTCTGATTATCTTGGGGCAGTTACTCTTTCTCAACCCATCCCTGGAATAAGGTAAACCAGGCTGAGTGGGGATTTGAGCCCTGGTCTCCTAGGTCCTAGTCCTTGGATGAAAAATGAAGTCACAATAGAAAAAATAAACTGGGCTGGAGGGGGGATGTCTAACAGAAAATCATTGCACTAGAAGTGATGTAAGGAGATCCAAACATAATTTCTCTATCTGTGAAGAGTCATTCACACATGCAGGTTGTTGCTTGATGTTACAATCATAGGTACTGAACCTGCATGTATGAACCAGCCCACAGATCTGCTGCAATTGAAGCAGAAGCAATAATTTTCCACTGTAATTTTGTGCTTCAAAAGATTCATCAACCAGAAGCCATATATGGAAGAAGGAAGGACTTTATCTGTCTGCAGCATTAATGATTCTCTTGCTGCCAGCAGTGCTACTCAGATCTGCACAAATTAGCTCCCCTCCCTTTCTTTTTCTTAGCTTCCATTCTTTCAGTTATCTGTAATTTGGTAAATGTGGTTTGCTAGACTGGAATGCTCTTTCCTGTGATTTATTTCCAAAAGAGAAAGAGGCACTGGAGCTTATCTAGAAACCACACCTTCAGACAAGAAACACCCTTGGGCCTCTGCATCCCAGATTTAAGGGGATTGTGGTAACAACTATGAGGAGGGAAGTGTGCCTCTCTCTGTGTTAGATACACTTAGGGTTTAAATACAGGATGCCAAACACATCTTAACCCAGTGGTTCTCAAAGGGTCTGGTGCACCACACTAGTGTGGCAGGAAAGGATGGTAAGTGTGGCGGGAAGATTCATTCAAAGAAACGTTTAAACATTTCAGTAGAGTAGAGTATAAAAAAATTATTTGCAGAATATTGATATGCATCTTTTCAAAACAAACCAGGAGTATCAAATGATACCAAAGAGAATCTGAGTTGTTGCTGAGAATTGCTGTTCGAACAGAGTGCTGGAGAAGACTCGTTTATAATTATATTTTGGGAATGATTCATGTTCTTATGTAGCATTGTTTTATACTTTCTTGATGTCCTATGATTATATTATAAACTAGTTGTGTTTTATGTTATAAATCAAGCATTGCTAGGAGTTTTTTAAAAAATGTATTTCTTATCAATTAAGTGCGGCGAGAGCAAATTTTTATTCTGAAAGTGTGGCCCAGAGAAAAAGTGTTTGAGAACCACTGACTTAACCCAGTTAGGATCCCACCACTACCACCTACTGTGGTGGTTATTAATTAATCTTTTAGAAACCACAGATGCATCCCATTGAATTTGGTTTTTTTAAAAATCAGCCTGCCAGTCAGGTAGGATGACGCACACCATCCAGCATAAAGCAAATTCCAACACAGGAGATGCTATGTAAGTTTATACTTTTATCACAGTAAAATTTGTTAAGTCTATAAGGTGCAACACAACTTAAAATTTAGTACCATCATATAATTCTGGAAGCACTTTGTTTACATAACATATTAGACATTATGTTCTGTTTTGTTGTTGTTCAATGACTGCCTGATCAGTTGTCCTTTTTTTTAGCTCTCATACAATCTCATTCAACAGGCAACCAATCAATCTTGAAAGCACTTCAGAATAATTCAGATCAGCCTTTCCCAACCTGAAGCCCTCCAGATGTTTAGGACTCCAGCTCCCATAATCCCTGATCATTGGCCATAATGGCTGGGGGTGATGAGAGTCGTAGTCCAACATCTGAAGGGCACCAGGGTAGGGAAGATGGGTTTAGATGCTACTCACTACTTCTGCCTGCATCCTACACTTTCTACATGTGTGCATTAGTGCACATAAAAGTTCTTATAGTAAGGGAAATTGCTTTCAAAAATGTGTATATTAGATAAAATTCCATACAAAAATGAGTATATTAGGATAAATGTACTGACAATTTTTCAAGTTTTTTAGAAGAATCATGAACGAATATGAAAATGTGGTGAACTCAGTTTAAGATTGGAAAGATGAGAAATAAAGATAAGCTGAATCTGAGAGATTTGTCCATCCCTATTTGTGGATGTCCTTTCTTTCATTATTTCTGCAAGTCATCTCACTACTAGTCTGTACTGTACAGCCTTCCCAAATGCCCATGCTTCAATCAAAGCCCGGGGAAAGGCATCATGGGGTAATGCCTCCATGGGCCTTTTTCAGATTAGAAACTGCAGGCAGCCAGGGAGGCTGCAGAGTGCTAGATAAATGTTTACTGGAAGTGGGAGTGGGGGAAGCACACAGTCCTTGGTCATCTCACAACATAAGGTCAAAATTCTAAAGAAATCTTTAAAATTTATTTTAAAAGCTAACAGAAATGACAAATGTATAGATATATGTAACAAAAATTGTTCAGATTCTTACAAGCAAGCAACTCTTCTAAAGTGCCCCAAGAATAAGACCGAAATGTGGAAGCCTCTTTTGCAGAGGAAAAACACTTGAAATTTTGCCACAGCACTAATTAGCAAAGCCCCAGGAGTTAAAGTCCCACTGGCTGAAAATGGCACATGGAAAAGACTAGAGAAACTGAATAATTACTCACATAGGGAAGATCATTGTGCAAAGCAGATGAGCTACAGCCCTTTCCCTCATTCGCAGAATCTCTGGGTAAGACTGGCAAAGACCCCTGACTGAAATGCTGAAGAGCCACTGCCAGTCAATACTGAACTAGATGGACCAATGGTCAACAAAAGAACATAAGAGCCTGATGGATCCTACCAAGGATCCAACCTGTTTAGCATTCTGTTTTCACAGTGGCCAGCCAGATGCCTAAGGGAAGCCTGCAAGGTGGACCTGAATGCAACAGCAGCACTCTCCCCACTTGATTTCCAGCAATTGGTATTCAGTGGCATACTGCCTCCAACAGTGGAGACAGATCATAGTCATGGTGGCTAGTAGCCATTGATAGCCTTCTCCTCCATGACTCTGTATAAGGCAGCTTTTAAATTTTCTAATGTGGTGGCAACTGGATGCCAAAATATATACCACAAACCAGTCATGAAGTTCTTTGCCTGAGTTACCAGCTTCTTAACTAACATGAATACGCTCCAAATTATACAATTGGAGTGAGCAGCTGGAGAGTGGGAGAAAGGCCTTGGTCCTGGGGATGGTGGCAAGGGAAGGTCTTTGGCGCATCAAAAGGCAGAGGCCAGACTGAAGAATAGGACATCCTGGCTTTTGAGGTATGAACAGAAAGACAAGCTCTCCTTCATTCATCTCTGTTAATGTGGTCACCAAGGATTGTGTTCAGATCATATCTTCGAGACGCTGCATTCACTCGGGTCTGGTTAATGAGAAGAACTGAATGTGCATTTGTGGCTTTTCCTCCCCACCCCCCTCTTCCTTGAATGGATCTGTCCCTTCCTTGTAAATAGGAGATTTGACCAAAAAACATAAGATGGCCTCACTACAGGGGTAGTTATACGGGCATTACACATCAGGAAAGTTCCACAAGACAAAAAGTGACATGGGAGGGGGGAGATTCCTTTGTCTGGTGAGACCTAATCTGTTTTTTTGTTCAAGAGACCAAGATAATTGGAATTTAGAAACCCCACCTTAATGCTTTTCCAATGGTCACAGACTTAATTCTGGAAAGAATAACTCCCTGCAGTTATGGCTATAAAGCTATGCAACAATTCTGATGAACCTTTTCAGTTACTGGTGCCGGGAGGGACCACCCAGGCTCCATTTGAACAAAGCGGGTCTCCCACAAGCTGAGAGGGTTTGGGAATCACATGACCAGAACCACATGCAAGGCTGCCGGCCACATGGGGGTCAATAGCAATTGGATCATGATGGGACATATTAATAGGCCTTCTGCTCCCTCACCTACCCATCCACCCCATTCATCACTCTAGGTCAAAGGCAATTAGATGGAGACAGAGGATGCCCAGGAATGCTACGGCCTTCAGCCTGGTTACAAACCCACATTCATATTGTCCTCTTCCCCTTAATAATGTTAAAAAGGGATTACATTTTTGTTCTATTTCCCCTCACCACCCCCATTCCCATAATCCATGCATGAGAGTCGAATTTAGAGACAGACAAGGGGCACACACACAACTAGTGAGGCCCCTGACCTTTTCCAATTCTCATATGACATCTTTGCCTTTTGCATAGTTTCAGTTCAGTTTCCAGGGAGGGGGGCAGTCTCATTTCATTGTCTGGTGAAGCCAAGCAGAAAGCCCATTTACAAGCATGCCCCTTCACACTGCACAGGATGGCTCAAAAAGCAGCACTCGGAAGAGGAAATAACTCACATTTTAACATCCCTAAAAAAACAGTGATTGGATATGGAAGCAAGTCCCAAAGACGCAATGGGTAGCCTCCACTGATAGTGGAAGGGAGAGTGGTATTTGAGGCTTCCAGGGGGATTTTACATGTATTTGTTGCAGTGTACCATTAGAGAGTTATTGAATTAGCACA